TGTTGTTTTTTAGATGTCGCCCTATACAAATATTTCATTTAAATCATTTTTAGATAATAATAAGTATTTTTCATAGAAAAAGTATAGTATGCAACTCTTTTATAAACTTTTCTAGACACTCATTTAATTAATCACTCGCTCTCAAGCTCCTTCGTGCCTAAATTAAATTTGTATCTACAATGGCGTTTATCAAACTTGATACATAATATACTATTATTTTCAATTAACCATAAATAAATAAAAAAATACTTTAGTGCTAGTCACTTTTAAGTAATAGTGCGTAACAGTATCTCATTTAGTAACCATAAATGGATACAAATTTTAAATTTCTTATTTTTAAACACTAGTGCTTAATAGTGTCACTTTTACGCACTAGTGTATGTGTACCTACATTTAGCAACCAGACAATCAAAAAGTCACTGTTATAAAATGCAGTAACAAAAATATTAAAAAATATTCAAATCATTTCAACTTATAAATTAAATGATGCAACATTTGAGAAAAATAAGAAACTCGAAAATCAGTAACTTTTTAAGGTATCACAGACTAGCATACATGTTGTCATACATGCTTGCACGTTGATGTTTGCTAGTGTGTTGTCAAAAAATAGCAACATGCACGTTACACAAGTTTTATGGGTTGCTTTAACATTTCTTGTGTGTACAATCATTATGGTCCACGCCCAAAAGTCCCACGACGTGAATTTAATACAAAATACAAATTATTTGTATCAGTCACGGGGTGGGACTTTTGGGTGTGGACATTATAGATTTATGACACACATGTTTGCTTGGCTGTGGGCATTTTGACTTGACTTTTACACAATGTAGGTTACCCATTGGTACACTGCAGTGTACTCATCTCATTTTTGGCAAAATCAACTTATCTAGTGGACCAACTTTTCTTTCTATTTTTGAAGTGAAACTTCTTTGGTGGCTTTTGACGAGAATAGAGAGTGAATAGAGAGTGAATTGTAACGTTCCGAGATTTCGTTACACGAGAGAGAAAAAAGATATAACGTAGAGAGAATAAAGTAGAGAGAAGGAGAATGAGAGCTATAAGAGTGAACCCGAGTGAATCCGATCGATTGTAAGCAGATTGCCGGCGAAGGCGAGGATTCAGTTTTGTTTTGCCATTGCTAGTGTGTATTTCGAGCGTTTTAACATAAATTAATTTCTTTTGTTTAAAATTATAAGTTATAATTTAATTTCTAATTATCTAATTTCCAATTACAATTTCCAAGTTATAATGTCCTACACATTGCAAGAGAAAATTGACATGATAAGTTGGTCAAAAGATCATTTTAATTGTTAAAAAAACAATAAACATAAATAATAAACATTCATTATTATCTAATTTCCAATTACAATTTCCAAGTACATTATTTATGTTAATTATTTAATTTGCTTATAAATTGTTAGACAAGGATTAGTCGGGTGTTAAGGTTACCGGCCTCGCACGCCATCTTTAAAAAACTATAAAAAATAATAACCGACAGTCCTTAATATATACACGCAAAACATATTAACAATATTGCCCCTGAATCGCATTAGCGAAGGGAATGGCGAACTGCAGATTAATTCCAAATTTTAAGATAGATTTTGAGTAGGCCAAAACATCGGCCAAGGGGCTCCTCCTTTATGAATGAACATTACGTGCCAGGCACATTTGTTTTTGTTCGTTTTATTTATACACTTATACATATGCTTAAATTTATTTTACAATATTATATACTTATACATTAATATGAATAAATATTTTTGATTTGATTTGGCCTCGGACGCAGCAGGTCCGGGTTCAATTCTAGGCGGAGAAATTCTTTTTTTTTTTTTAATTTTTTTCTTCCTCGAAAATACTTAATTTTAGAAATTAGAAAAAATTGCTTTTTTATTGTCAAATTAAAATCTTTAACTACACGCGCCGGTGTATTTTGTACACCATTTCGGTAAAACTTGCTGCCGTTTGGTATTAAATGTTTTTTTAAGTCGCGTTTTTTGAAAAATGTACATTTTTGTGAAATAAACGATTTTCTAACGCAAAAATACTTTAAAAAATAAAAACTGTTACCAAATGGTTTTTTTTTTCAAAAATAAATCAAATAAACAATTATGAGTACGGTAGAGTAACGAATATTCTACTGTTTTTATTATTTTATAATAATGCGGCTTATTTGTAATAACGCGGTGTAAAGCTGGCAAAAGTCAAAGGCGTGGCGCGCTCAAATAATGCCGCTCTTTAGGCGCGTGCCGAAAGCAAATTCGCTTCTGTTTTTATGCCAAGGATATAAATTAATTTCAGATGTAATTAATCAATAGTAGATTATAGATGTAATTAATCAATAGTAGTAACTGTACGAAGCACAAAAAGAGCTTATACTCCAAATAACATATACTATTTTAGCGGACATGATATGCAACCTTATATGCATGTATAGAGATAGACTATCTCAGATAGTTGAAGTGCGTCTTTTTCAATAGCGGCAGACAAAAAACGCAAAAAACCTAGGGATAGAAGTAAATCCATAGGTGACTCAATAGACGTCAAATAATAAAATTAATTAAGCATTTCATACAAAGCAATCACGTTGTGATATTAAATATAATCGCAATTATTGATTAAATTTTAATTGAACGAAATAAAGAATGATGATAGACGAGTCGCCAATGTCGGAACTCCAAACAAATGTCAGTACGTCAAAATTAATTCAAGCGCAGCATTTTGACAGAGCAGTGTTTATTTTTAGTTTAGGATATTTATCGGCATTGTAAGTAAGTAAGGGTTACATTTTTTTTAGTTTTTATCAATAATTTGTAATGCTTTTAGCCAAAATTTTATCCCACACGAGTTATGAGTAATTAAAATAATTCTATTTTATTGAAAAAACAAAGTTTTATTGAAAAAAATTAAAAGTTCGTCCACCATGGGATATGCGGCATTAAAGCAGAATTAATTAAAGTAAAAAAAATGCGGTACTTTTTTCGAAAAACTGAAACAATTTTTGTAATAGGATTTTTTATATTTTATTCTAAAAAGAAAGTTTATAACAAAAAATTAAAAAAAACGTCTTTATAAGTCAGTCGGCACCATATTTTTTTTTAATTTTCGGTTCCAACCAATTTTTTTTAATGGGGGGTATTTCCATTGTAAGGGGTGCCACACTAAAACTGCGTTTTTTATGATAATAAAGGGTTTGTTCATATATATCAAGATACGTTAATATAAAAAAATAAGTATGAAAAATTAGGTATTTAACTCAAACAAAATGTCAATAAAAACTTTTAAAGAATAGTATATTCTGTAACAAGTTTGGAATACGGCATATTCCGCTCGAGTGAAGGCGAGTTTGACGGTTTCACGAGAGGGGAATATGCAATTCCAAACGTGTTTCAGACTATACTTTTTCTACGTTTCCAAAAAATACCATAGACAAATAATTTAATTGGAAGAAAGTGAGGTTGGATCGGTCTAAAATTTGTTAGATATTAAAAACAGAGATGTCGCCACGAGTAACACTTTACGGAATATATGTCATTCCATAGATAAAAGTGATATTAGAACGGTCATATTCCATAATAGAAGTAGAAAAAACCTTTTATAACGACATGAATAGCGTAACGGGCGCGACCTTAGAAAATCGGCAAGTGCGACCAAGTTGGCTTCTAAAGTTGATACTGTAAAATTTTGGATGAAAGCATATAGTAATAATTTTTTGTGTAAAACTTGAATACTAACCTTAAACAAGCACGTATTTTAAATGCATAAAAATTGCATACTTTATTTTCTAAAATTTTCTTAAAATGTAACGGGTGCGACATTTGAACATTTTATCGAGTACTGAAACTCTTCCGTGTTTATTCTTAATGTTAGCTTCTTAGCATCACAATGTACGAATATTTTAAGGTTATAAATTACGTCGCAATTAAACTATTTGACTTCAGATATAGTTGTTATTTTGTTAAATAAAACATCTGATTTTTTGTCAAGGTGGGGTAAGGTTTCTTGGAAATACCCTGGGGTAATACATTATATCAAAATTCAAATCAAAAGGGGTCGTGTTTAAAAGTTGCCGATTTGGCGTGAAATGCCCCATATACATAAATGCTTTAATGTCCCCAAACAGCACAAAGATACGGGACGCCGAAAGGCTGCTGGGATGTCCATAGGACGTCCCAATGTCAAAGAAATGAACCAAAATTGGACGTCCGAAAAAACGTCGAATAAGTAAGTGGACATTGATATACTGCCGAATAAGGTCCAAATGGACAACATTTGGGCCTTATTTGGCAGTATATTGATGGCCCTAGCAGCAGAAACACTCTGGCTAGAGCCCTGTCTTTGTTTCTTTTTATGTTTGTTTTTAAAAGCGCAAAGCGCCGCCGCCACTGCTTGTTGAAATGTATTTAAATGTATTAACTACTTAGAACAAGATTAACTACGACCCTGTATATGCACAATATGTACCTGTGAGAAAACAATATAAATAGTGATTGTTAGTATTTGAATGTCATGTATATGTCATTAAATAAATGTATTCTGAAATCGTTTTTCATAATATACTTTTACTGTGCTATTACCCGGTGCTGCGTTTCCTGCTAACACTGCTAACCAATGCTTTCTGACAGTATAAACAAAAATTAACTGCCAAAATTTTCTGTAGTGTGTGTGTAGTGTGACATATTGACGTTTTAAATAATGAAGATACAAACATGAAAAAGAATGGAGGGGGCCTTTAGGTACTCAAAATTATAGTTTTATGACAAGCAATGGGTACAAGTCATAACTTATTGATCCAAGTGATGTTGTTTATCTAAGATATTCGTTTTAAAACAAATCAGCAGTTTTAATTAATATACAGAAATGCAAAACTTTTTTACAATTTCTAAAGGTAATAAAATTTGTTGTGAGTTCATGGAAAATCTCAATAATAAATAACACAGGACATCATGTGCGTTTTGGTTTCCTATGTTAAATTTGGCTTTAGGGTGCAAAATAAAACTTACCTATTCGAGTTTCTTGAACGTTTGGATGCATATCTGTCATCATCTGTGGAACTCATTTCTGTTGCTGACCTACGTTTGCTACGTGGCATTGCAAATCTAAAGGACTGAATACTTAGTTAAGAAGCCTGAAAAACAATATTTAAATATTATTACAGTAATGAGGTTATGTCTAAATTATTGACAAATTTTAAGGTGTTTCAAATTATCGATTTAAATAAAAAAAAATAAGGAATTCAAATAATATAATATAATTAATATAACTACCTGTTTTCTTACACCTTAAAAACTGTTTTTTAGAGCCCTTCACAACATAGGTAATCACACAATGCAAATACTTTTTCAAATTCAAATTTATCCCTACCGACTTTTAAATCGAAATACGTGGATTTATATTTAGGAATAAAACCTGCAGGCAATTGTTGTTTTTAGTTTAAACTTTGGAAATATTAAACTTATTAAATTTATGCATCAGCTGGGGCATATTTAACCTTGAAGGTGATGTTGTTATGGCGGATGACAGTTATGGCAAAAATGCAACGCTAACTTCATTGAAATTAAATTTGGACAAAATAAAATCTACGTCTTATTCTACTTATTGGTTTCTTTTATGGTATTATTGCAAATCGTACATTTTACATCTTTGTATCTTTTTTATAAAAAAAAATAACAATAAATTTACTCTAATAGCTAATGTAAGTTCGGCAACGTTGTAATGAAAATAAAACAGGGCATCCACTACAAATAAATTTTATTTTATATAGGTTTGTTCCAATCATAAAGGCCAAGGCGTACAAGGATCCTAGAAATTATTTAAAAATTATAGTATTTGACCATTGAGTAAACTTTACTCAATGATTTGACACGATACACATACACATTGTGGTAACATGTATCAATAATAATTTTTTTCAAATACCATGATACAGTATCATGGTATTTGAAAGAATATACAGAGTGCACCAAGTAGGGTTACAAGCAGGGACCCGGACCCAAATGAAATAACGGTTCCTGTCCGGTTCCGGTGCCGAAAAAATATCGTGGTTCGGACCAATCTTTTCGGTCCATACGGTTTTTTTTCGGTTTCAATTTTTTTACCATTTATAAATAAGTAACAACTTAAATTATAAAATGACATTTTTTTGTAATTTTTTTTTGGCAAGTTTAATAATTAATAATTATTATAATATTATATTACTTTGCCTCTTTTTTTAAATCAGGTTCTTAAATTTTAGGCTCTTCATCCTCTTTTTCTTTAATTATATTTTTGATCAGCTGGCTACCTCCCAGTAAGCAAAAGCTAGCCTGAACACGTTTTGCCGAATCGGCCGCGTGTCACGCGTGCGGCCCGACACATGTATTTGTTCCGGCGTGTAGACCGGGCATGTCAGCCTGGCCAACTGTCGGGCCGAATGTCGGCTATGTTTAGTCGGCCGAGTGTCGGTTGTGTATAGTTGGCCGAGTGCCTGCCACAACCACCTGGCCATTAAAAAAAAACCTACAGACGTCCTGGATAGGTATGTCGTATAGGTTAACCTATACGATATACGTTAAATTTAACACACTCGAATAGCTAGACATTATTCGTTACTGAGCAGATGAGGATGGAGGTGGGGACTCCAAACAATTTATGTTCAGCTATGTCATTACAGACGCACACTTCCGACTAAATATTGCAACCCATCGCTATTTATAGTTAGCTCGCTTGCGTAAGCAGCCGTGAGATGTATCGCTTATGCCGCGGCAGGCCGTATTCCGGCCGTAAGCGGCCCGGCTAGAGCAAGCCGAACGATTTTGCAGCGACGTGCCGTATTCTGGCCGACTTCGGTTAGAACATGGACAAACCGTTTGGCCATGTTCTAACCGAAGTCGGCCAGAATACGGCACTGGTCTAACATAACGGGAGCCATAAGCGGGACGACTGGGAGCAAGCCGATCCGCCGGTCAACCGCCTACCCCGAGCGAAGGCCGAACCAAAACTCGTCCACTGGAGCATCCAGCCCTGCGACAACGTACTTATCCCTATTGTAAATGACCATTAGAAACCAATAAAAAATAATTAATTGGTTTGCATTGGTTTGAAATATGTTTTGGCGCTATGAATCACCAATTCATTCCAGTTGAATTCCTATTGGTAATTTCCAATGAAGTCAGCGGCTTGAATTGGAAAATACCAATAGAATCCAATAAAAATTTAAATAAGTAATTGGTTTGAATTGGTTTGAAATGTGTTTTGGCGCTATAAATCACCAATTCATTCCAGTTGAATATTCAACTTGAATTTCCTATTGGAAAATACCAATCCATGCCTACGCTTGTCTCTATTGGCTAAATCCAATAGAAATGCACATATGGAATGAATTGGTAATTCATAGCACCAAACCCATTCCAACCAATTAATTTTTTAAAATTTGGATTAGAAAATACCTACCAGTTTATTTTTCATTCAAAAATAATTTTAGATCCCAGAAGGATAACCGGGTAAAAACCAGAATTCATTTTTTACAGAAGAGACAAAAAATTTATTGTTACTGAGTAATTTTATTTCTTTATTATTTTTTACATATAAATTACTATCGCCTAAATCCCTAAATCTTGCACATGAGACATTCTTTTACATATCGTACGGATTACAGAAAACATATTTTTTCAAATTTTTAAAATGACTTAATTTTTTTTTACAGCATCTTTTCATAAATTTAGCCGACCCCTATATCGGAATTTTTGCAGAAAATTTATTTTTCCAAAGATATATTGATTTAAACTTTTGATAAAATTTGAAAAAATGCTGAATTCTTTTGTACTTAAAATTCATTATCTCCGGTTCTACTGATCGGATCGATTTCATTTTTTTTTTATTTTAAACCATAGTCTTTTTAGATAAATATTTAAAAAGTTTGTGTTTTGTTTATTATATGAAAAAAATATTTTTTTTTTGTATAAACAGATTTTTTGTGTTTGCCCCCTCTATGAAAAAAAATTAAAAAAATACTGTTCTATGCACTATTTATTACTCTACAAAATGAATTTTTCAGAAAAATGGAGACTTTTTTGGATCGGAAGATATTAAATATTTTCGAGCGCGTGACCATGGTCAGTACAAGCCGTAAGGGGGCATCCATTAATTACGTGAGGCGTTTAGGGGAGGGAGGGGGTCAAGCCAAATCTCATCAATTCTCACGTAAGGGAGAGGCAAATATCACGTAATTTTTAACAAAGTATGTTTTTTTAATAAATCCAACAGAATCAAGCAGTTTAACGTATAAACATTAAAAATAAGCATTTTTTAAAATCTCACTTGAGATTAGGGGGAGGGGGTTGAGCCAAATCTCACGACATCTCAGCAAGGGGGGAGGGGGTCAAAAAATCGCTAAAATTGACTCACGTAATTAATGGACACCCCCTAATCAGACATCTTCGAAACGCTAACACATTTAGGAATCCTAAATTAGGATAGTGTAAACTCATACATCGTTTTAAAAAAATACCAGCGCTTTTTGTAAATTAATCCTGATTTTAAAGGTTTTCAATAATTTTAAATAAATTAAATTTTAAATAATACACACTCAAATTAATGAGTAAATTTATTAACTGGCAGAATTGACATTTGCACAAATAAGTCACCAATTAAAAGATGTCGAATCATGGCACTCTTATACAAAATATCACGTCACCCGCCACATGCACTAATACGTTTGAATATTACGCGCTTGACAGTCCTGTCACGCGCTCGAAAATGTTTAATATCTTCCGATCCAAAAGAGTCTCCACTGTTCTGAAAAATCTATTTTGTAGATAAAGAAAAAGCTCATAAAATAGTATTTTTTTCCTTTTATTTTATAGAGGGGGCAAACATGAAAAACTAGTTTAAAAAATTAATCTGTTATTAACTCCCTATACCAAAAAAAAAAAAAATTAATTTATTTATTTGAAAAGCCTATTCAATAAGGTTTAAAACAAAAAAAAAACAAAATCGATCCGATCAGTAGAACCGGAGATAATGGGTTTTATGTAGAAGAGAATTTATCGTTTTATCGCAATTCATAAAAACTTTATATCAACATATCTCTGAAAAAACAATTTTTTTACAGAAAACCTGATACACGTATCTGCTTATTTACTGAATAGAAGCGGTAAAAAAATTTTCATGCGAATCCAAACCCTGATGTCAAAATAGGTGTACGATTTGTAAAAGAATGTCTCACATATAAATATTTTTTTAATATATAAGTACCTACACTACTAACACTAGGCTCTTAACACTAGTGTTCAGCTGAAATCGACTAACAACATAAACCGCTAATAAATGGCGTCCAAAGACTTGTTGTTTTTCTTTATGATGGCGTCTCAACCTCGTTGATTTTGCGCAGCTACACGAGAGCCCTCTTGCAATATTTTATTGGGAATAACCAATTAGCAGATTTTTCGAATCTGGGAATGCCCAATTGAATTCAATTGGATTCAATAGGTAGCTTTATTGAATTCAATTGGATTCAATAGGTAGCTTTATCCAATCGAAACCAATAAAAACCATTAGAATCCTAACTGGTACTTTCCATCATGGAAAATCCTGGTAAAAATCAATTTCTGTTTTATATCGCGCCCAATTAAATCCAGTCCAATTCAGACCCATTGATACCAACCAATACTTCATTTGTTTTCTACAGGAATTAATCGGTCATTTACAACAGGGATGTCACTCGATGACTTCTGCTTCTTCCTTAAGGAATTGGTAGCCAAAGGCCTTAATGGTCTCGGTTTCAATGTACCATTTTGACCAGCAACAAGTTTTAATGTCCATGTGGTTCTCGAAGCAATCCACCCATAAACACGTGAGTTTTCCAAATCTTGGATCATCCACCCAATGTATTGTACAAATCACAAAATACCTCGCTAGAAGGTCAAAGCTTGCGATATTGTCCAAAAATACTAGTATATTTCTATACCCGAAATCCAATTTTGTCCCTCCTGGGTCAAAGTCAGCTATATATATATGTTTCACACTTTTTCATCGAGCGATGTCCCAGAGATGAAAGTGCGATGCACCACACACGAAAGACAAAATCGAACTCCCTTACTCGATGACGTCAGAGGATAAAGATAGACGGACCCTGTTGTAAATGACCGATTAATTCCTTATAGAAACCAAATGAAGTATTGGTTGGTAAATTGAAGTATTGGTTGGTATCAATATGTCTGAATTGGACTTACTGGGTTTAATTGGGAGCGATATAAAACAGAAATTGGTTTTTACTGGTATTTTCCATGATGGAAAAGTACGATTAGGATTTGACTGTTTTTTAGTGGTTTCGATTGGTTAAAGCGAGGGGTAAACCACATTAAAATCTTAGAGACCAACGTTCAATGTTAGTGGACGTTGTGTTGAGATTTTTTTCCTTATCAGTCGACGATCGTTATCAATAAGGAAAACTTGCTTAATCGCGATTAAGCACCGCGGTGCTTAATCAGTGCTTAGCGACGCGTTGTACATGACTACCCTTGTTATTGTTATCC